TGTGGAGAACCAGTCTTGGGGAAAAAGGTAAAAGTAAATCATAAATAAATGTTATAGACTGGGAGAGAAGGAAAAAAGAAAGAGAGAGTGGGGAAATCAATCTTAACACGCGGGCAGGAGAGAGAGAGAGAGAGAGAGAGAGAGAGAGAGAGAGAGTAGAGAGAGAGGGAGGGGAGGAGGGGGGAGATTGGAAACGTTGAGATAACACTCCACCTCCACATACGGACATACTGAAGTCTAAAGTAGAAATACACCCTTTCTTAAACTGTGTCCCCGCCAATGCCTCTCTGATAAATCAATCTTTCTCAGCCATGTAATCACGGGCTTATAGGCTTTGGGTAGAGGAAGGGGGTCAGTGGGGTTTTAGAAAGAGAGGAGGAAGAGGGAGGGAATTTAAGTCTTTTTCGGGGTAAAAAGGAAGGGAGGGGTGACGCTCAGAATAGAATAAACATAAAAGAGAAGAACAAGAATGAACATAAAAGAGTAGAACAGGAATAAACATAAAAGAGAAAAATAAACCGAAATGAGAAGGACAAGAATAAACATAAAAGAGAAAAATAAACCGAAATGAGAAGGACAAGAATAAACATAAAAGAACAAAATAAACAGAAAAGAGAAGAACAAGAATACATAATATGTATATTATGTTATATCATAAAGAGAAAAATAAACCGAAATGAGAAGGACAAGAATAAACATAAAATAGAAGAACAAACTTAAAAGAAAAGAACAAGAATAAACATAAAATAGAAGAACAAACTTAAAACTGAAGAATAAACAGAAAAGAAAAGAACATAAAGTAACGTAGGTAACGGACAGTTCAGAGACCACTGGTTTCTGTACTCATCGGTAACAGCTGTTTGCTCTCTTTAAAAGATTTTAACTTCCTTGACTATATTATTATCAAATTATTATGATATAACCTATTTCTAGACAGCATAAAATTATTATGACGCGCTCATATGAACGGATATAGTTACGAGCGCTGTAAAACTGTTACTGAACTAAAATTAAGTTTATCTTTAAATATTGAACAGGAGTGGCATATCTTTTGACTCACCTTCGTTATAATAATAATATACTCGCTGAATTGATTGAAAGAATCTCTTTCAGTGGATTGTGTGACATTTTTAGTAAGCACATGAACATTAAACGCCGACGGCATTGAAAACAAAATGCATCGACTGGGCGTGGTACGCTTTCAATATAATCTACTAGAAACGAGAACTATTTGTGGGCCGCGTTCACATGTCTCGGTTCATTCAAAGTGCTCAGAATAATTTTGGGATTTTTTAATTTTTTTTTGGGGGGGGGGGTTGTTTTGTTTTTACACATCTATAGATAGAATCAAGATTATTCAGTAGGCAGGCTTCGACCCCGTCTGTCTTGGCCAACCTTTGCTGAGAGTGAGAGCAATTCATCCTAGTAGAAAGACCTCCTTCTTCTTCTTCTTTTTCTTCTTCTTCTTTTTAGCTTCTCCAGTGGATGTGCGTTGCTTTTCTGGCCTTCCTGTAATAAAACACTCCGAGATAATAAATAACAAATGAAATTGTCTCCCTACTCAGTAAGTGGCGATGTACTTAATACACACACACACACACACACACACACACACACACACACACACACACACACACACACACACACACACACACACACGCACACATAAACACATAAAGATACACATAAGCACAAACAGACATA